ACCTTCGTGCGCTTTGACGTGATTGTCGAGCGTGTGCATTTCGTCATCTTGTCAGGCTTTACTCGCCTGATCGGTAGTCCGTAGTCTCGTGACTATGACAAAGATCTCTGTACTCTGTTTGATGTCACATCGTCATCATATTTAATCTCAGCTATGGGTGAATAGTCTGTGCCTGTGCACAAATATTATTGTGTTTCATTACGCAAGACTACATATTTCGCCAATAGAACTGGGCATAAAACTGATTGGTGTAATAACAATGCCGCTCGGTCTAGCACGATCATCATACGACAAACAATCAGGTGGATTCACAGTCATGTGTGCCTCCCTCAATCACCCCCTCCCTCCCACCCAGAAATTCTTTATTGTCCGATAAATAAAAATGACGAATAAGAACGCATCATATGAACTGTAATCCGTTTTGCAGAACCAGGAAACAACTCCAAAATAGTGTTAGACGAAAGAGATATTGTTGAACGAGTTTAACGTTGCCGCATAAAAGTAGACTACAGGTTTGATTCGTTCTTTTAGTGGTATCTTCATTTTTGGTTTATAATGAAAAGAAGCACATACGCCTAAATTATCATAGTTTTTTATAACTGTAAGAAAGTTACATAATTGGCTGTTGTTTCCGGTTAATTTGTTTGTTGATAACCATCCTTTGTAATGCAGGTGACGTAAAGCCCCCCTAGTCACGAGAATTTACTGTTCAGTGACGCAACCCGGGAACCTAAGCCCCGGCTGTCGAATCACATAAGGTCGCATTAGGTTAGTTGTACTATTGAATCAGACGAAAGCAAAGAGGAACGGAGGGAACTTCTGATCCTCGAAGCCCTGCTTTCGACCAACTCATTCAATCGATACGCAGAAATCGATAAACATTATGCAACGATTGAACAACCAATGAGGAACTCGGGATTGATGGACAAAGAGCCGCGACGCAAACCACAGTGCGAGGCACAAGCAGACCCAATTCATTCACACGTATTATCGTTTGACAGTGAGTCCTAGTCTGGATCGAAACGTCATAAATACTATCACCCAGTGCTCGCCTTTTCCTTTTCAATATATATATATATATATATATGTATATATATATATAACACTGGCTTGAGGACAAGCATGGTGCCAGTGCCACAACAATAATAACAATAAAAATAACACTGGGGGAGGTTAGGATACAGAGCATAGGGAAAGGGACGTAATTTTCAATGATTAAATCGCGTTTTTGCTTGCACTAGTTCCTTTGTGCATCAATTTCCATCGATTCACAGCAGCAGCAACATCATCTTTTTCCCCTCGAAAACCGATTTATGGACACTGTTTTTAACTGTGGAGTTCACTGTGGGTCTGGTTTATACTCGTCATTCCTCGTTTACTGCGATTACCCACAAAGATGTTTGAAATGAGGAGGTTTATGTTGCCTCTTCCACTCTCACCGGTTTTCCAGGTGCCTAGTTGAAGTGGCTCGGCAGAATGATTTCGATCAGGCTTTGGCTCAAATTTCCCGCGAGCACAAGACTCTACGATCCGGGGAGACACAACGCAGACGCACATTCGCCAAAAAAATCAGTAAGT